CGTCGCTTTTGTAAATTTTCGACCTTGACGCTTTCCATTCCAAACCCGAAAAATAGCAATGCCGCTTCACCATGACGCGCTGCCAGTTACATTCCGCCCGACCATTGCGGGGGGGGGCGCCGCCCACCCTACGCCGGTCCAAGTTTACGTATCGATCATTTGGTCAAGGTCGTTTGCATCTACGGGTGGGGTTTATAAGCTACCTGTTGTCCATTTAATTTATTTTAGGAATAAATGATAAATAATACAGTGTTCCGAACACCATTTAAAGAATAATAGAACGTATTTCTTATCTTTCAAAACTCGAAATTTGAATAAGATAAAGTATGATAAAAATATAGTAAAGTGAAAGGAGTGAGCCGCGCCAAGCAGTGCACCCAACGCCACTTGACCTGCTATTAGTTTTAACAATGCAAATCCATCACAAAACGTTGAAGTTGTAAAAGCCGTTTGCGTGTACTGCGCCCACCGTTTTTGAACAGATAAAATGTAAGCGCTCGATGTGGACATTCGGGTAAACAGCGTTGTTTACAGATACAGAAGCGTTGTTTACAGATACAGAATTTTATGTAAGTTCTTAGTTTGAGTGCCGAAGTCCCTAGGAAGAAAGGAACATTTGTTCGAACGGTGCAAGTAGGGGAACACAGATGCCAGTAAAGATCCCAAGTTGCCAAAGAATACACGCTATAATATTCAGTAGCTACACCAGCTCCAGCGCTCGCTGTCCTCGATGTAGCATTTTCCTGTCCTTTACCACTACCACTGGTACCTCTCGCCCTACCAAAAGTAATTTCCCTTTCTATCGTCTTCTTCTAGATAGGGTAATATCTGCGCCAAGGAGATGGAGTGTTTCCGACATAATATTTCTCTCTCTCTGAAGAAGTACCGCTTCTGTGGCGCAATTGGTTAGCGCGTTCGGCTGTTATCTGATAGCTACCGAGAGGTTGCCAGTTCGACCCTGGCCAGGAGCGCTGCACGTGCCCGGTCCTCTTTTTTCATTCTTTTCTTGCGAATGAAGCCCCTCGAGGGGGTCCGTCAGTTTGGCTGATAATTGCTGCCTTGCGAATATAAGGAAGGGGGCATAGAATTAGTTTGCTAAAAAATTGTGAATGCTGCACCAAACGGAATAGTAAAATGGACCTAGATACGATTAGTACATTCAGAGTTGACACAGAATCGTGGGAACCCAGTCTCGTCACTGGTGAAGTAGTTAAAGGAATCAATGGAGGATATACCATTTGCAAGTATTCTCAACTTTACATGCGATAAGCTCTTGTAGCGGTGCACTAGTTTTCTTCGATGAGTAGAAATTCGTTCTTTGCCATACAGCACAAGCTACGAAAAACTTGCCATAATGGCCCTTTTCGTGCAGAAAATACAATTTTATAAAACATTAACACGTATACACCCAACGTATGTACCAAGTTCCATTAAAAAAAAAAAAAACACACACACACACACTCACACACACACACTCACACACACACAGATAGAAAGAGCAAAAAAGTTACACACAAAAAAATCCCTACAAAAAAGCATACGATGATATCAAATCTTGTCTGGTACCGGCGGTCGATCACCATCCCCACCCGCTCTTGATCCCCCTACTTCGCCCTCATCCCCTGAATCATCCCCTTTATTCACAACAGTCAATGGCGTAACAACTACCTCTACCCGTTCATCCTCTGGCGTAAGATCATCTCGATATGGCTCATCCTCACCATCAAAAGGGGGAGTCGAAGGTCGAGGGGGAGGAGGAGGAGGAGGAGGACTCGCAAAAACATGATTCATACTCGACCGGCGATCCATTGGAACGGGTGGAGAAAGCGGGAGAGGAATCGCAGATGTACTGACCGGTCGTTCCCTCGTACCCGCTAATCCACCTACATCCCCATGTACATCTAATTTCGGATCCACTTTCCGTTCCGGGAGTGAAT